GCCCATCTAAAGGTGACAACAGCAACAAGCAGCACAGACACACATTCACACAGTCATCAGCAGAAACACTAAAAACATTAGTCTTGTAAAATAACAGTATGTTTACCAGAATATATTTTAATATAGACATTAAATATACAGAATGTTTCTACTATTTTGTCTACCCCATGTATTTCAATAAATGTAGATACATATTAATAAAACACAATATATATATATGACTTTCCCATGTTTTTGATCACAAACAATTCACTTTGTAATTGAAATATTTTCCTGTTGCCTTTATATTTTCCACCATATATCATATACAGATAATCTAAAATGTATATCTGGAAATTTAAAAAAGTTATGTAATGTTTCCTGATATATATCTGATATATCATAATTAGTGGTAAAAATGATTTGTATATGATTCCATGATTGTAAAAATATTTTGTAAAATAATGAAATAATAAACCCTCATAAAAACTCATACAATGTTTTTCACAATATAAAATATATTTAGAACACTAAATACAGTTTGAATCATACAAACAATATATCTATTTATCACCATATAATATTTACAATATATTTACTATAAATCAAACATGTTAAAATCATATACCACACAAATAAACAACAGTAAGAAACAAATAACACAGATTCACTGATATTACGAAATACTTGAAATTTGTAACATTAATTCTGCGTTTGAATTTGAAAATTTAGATCATCTCTGGAGAATCGTGCTCGTCTCTTAAATTCACTTTGATTTACTGGAGATTTAAAAAGTCAACTGATTAACAGAAAAATCCTCCACAATCATTCATCCAGAATTTCCTCAATGTAAGTTTGATTAAACAGCAGCTGATGAGAACACAGGGCAGAGTTACAACATCGACCCTGAGTTTATCTCATTACTTTAAGGTTTTAGGATGACCAAGAAAATGATCGACACCAAACTTAATGACCTCTACAATAAAACAACAGAAGGAAAATTTATGTTTAATCTTACATAGAGTTCAGTTCCAGAGCCAAAGATGAGGTGTCTGTTGGATCCTACCACAAAGAAACACACAGAGAAAAACCTGTCTGCTGCTGAATGAGTCAGCTGAGACCAAATTATGAACCAGGAAGCTCGATGATGTGTTTTTTAATGTTCACATGCAGTCTACACTGTTTAAAGATATTATAGAGATGATTCAAATCAGCTTTATGGGCATGAATGTATCAACAGTATTGCCAAAGCTATATATAAATTAGATAAGGACAATTAATTTCATACATTTCATTAATAAGGAACTAAAACAGTAAAGGATGATCACATCATCCTTCAACGGACAGTCAGGACTGCAGAAAAGATCATCACTGCCAACCTGCCTTCCATTCAGGACTTATACATTTCCAGAGTCAGGAAACAGGCAGGAAACATCACTGCAGATCCATCTCACCCCGGACACAACCTGTTCCAGCTTCTCCCCTCTGGTAGGCGCTACAGAGCACTGTACACCAAAACCAACAGACACAGAAGCAGTTTCTTCCCACAAGCCATCTCTCTGATGAACAGCTGATTTCTGACTCACAGTGCAATAACCCAGTAACTCTGTCTCTAATCAGCCACCTGTATACTGGTTACTGGATTATTTATTCATCATTCTCTATTGCACACTGATCAAACTGTTATATTGTCATATTGTATATACTGTTTACCAAACCCACCTACCTCAAGTACATAACACCTGCACATAATACTCATTCATTCCAGTATCCTTTGCTGTATGCTGCATTGCACTGTGTACATGTGTACATGTATGTATGTATGTGTACCTGTATATCACATCCACCTCTGACAAGTCGCTTTGGATAAAAGTGTCTGCCAAATGAGTTAATGTAATGTAGTGTGTAATGCAATTAAATCGAAAAAATAAGTGTATTGTATTATCATGATTTGTCACGCTTTGCTGTGTCTTCAGGCAGGAACAGGTTTTTGGACCCAAACGCAGGACACAGAGGCAGAACAGGTACAGTTTCTGAGTACTTATTAAAGGCAACAAAACTTATGGCAGCGTCCAAAATTCAACAAAGGTAGTCCGCAAACAAGAGTAATCCAAAACGAGCAAGAAAAATACTAAGTCCATGGAACAGAAAGCAAAGTCCAAAACAATCCAGCAGGTCATACTCCACAAGCAATAGGGATCAGGAACAGATAGGTAACAGGCAGACACAGGCAAGAATACACACATTTAAACACTGGCTAACGAGGAGGGCGGGAGCACAAACGGGTGATACTAATAATGACAGCAGACGACACAGGCAGGCAGAGAGACAGCAGGGGAAAACAGACAGACGCTAACAGGTTGCAAAACACAAGGCAAGAATCTAACTGCAGCACAAAACACAGAACAGAGAAGACAGACCAAGTAATTGAGAAACACAGGCAACTCCACAAGACAGAACAGACTAAGATAACTGAACAGAACAGAACAATATAACACAGAATAATCATAAACAAATTTACGACTAATCAGGCAGATATTACAATAAACACAAAGAAACCAAGCATGAAACAAACACTGGATAATAACAGATTAAGACAGGAACTAAGGCAGGCACAGATCAAAACCAAACTAGACAGGAAACAGACCAAACAGCTCTAAAGGCACAGCGTTGACTACAAACTAATACAGATGGACTGCAACATAACAGGGAAAACAGACTGAAACAAGAAAACACAGAACTAGGAACTAAGACACAGAACTAAAATGCAGGGCTAAATTTAAGATACAAGACAGACAAAGTACAAAGTGAGCTAAACAGAACCTGCAAGTGAACAATGAAATAAAGAAGGCTAAACAGAGAACACAGGACAAGGAAGAAAAGCCCAAACCAACTGTAACACAGAACGGGGTAGGAACAGAGACAGGACCAACCAGGAAACTGGACAACACTAAACATGGAACAGAACAGAAATGAGGAAAATACCAAAACACCCTAATCACTAACTGACAGATAATAACCAGATAAATAATAACCAGAATAAATAACAGATAACGAACTGATCATAAGTAAACACAGAACAAACTCAACAGACAGATGACAGGACTAAAATGCCGACACAAAATCAACCTTAGAATCAAGAACCAAAACCCAGAAACAGAGAAACAAGAATCAAGATACAGAACACAGAAAACCTCCGGACAGGATTGTGACATGATTTCTGTTGTGTTATAATTAATATAATTATACTGGAAATAGATAAATGGAAATTAATTGCAGGTCAGTTATAACTGACATAGATATGAATACACCCCTCACATTTTTGTAAATATTTGATTATATCTTTTCATGTGACAACACTGAAAAAATGACACTTTGCTCCAATGTAAATTAGTGAGTGTGCAGCTTGTATAACAGTGTAAATTTGCTGTCCCCTCAAAATAACACATCACACAGCCATTAATGTCTAAACCGCTGGAAACAATTACACCCCTGAGTGAAAATGTCCAAACTGGGCCCCAAAGAATCCATGTTTTGTGTGGCCACCATTATTTTCCAGCACTGCCTTAACCCTCATGGGCATAGAGTTCACCAGAGCTTCACAGTTTACATTACATTACATTTATTCATTTAGCTGACGCTTTTATCTAAAGCGACCTACAATTGCTATACATGTCAGAGATCCCAATAGTACACAGCATTGTATGAGATCTTTCTCAGAAGGAATGGATCATTTGTCAGAACAAGACTGACTAATGATTTTTCTTTGTTTGAAGTTCTTTGTTTCTTGCTGTAATGGAACCCACAACTTCTGATGCTCCACATACTCAACTAGAATAAAGAAAGCCAGTTTTATTGCTTCTTTAATCACAGTTAATAAACAGTTTTCACCTGCTTTACCATGATTGCAAAAGGGTTTTCTAATCATCAATTAGCCTTTAAAAATATAAACTTGGATTAGCAAACGCAACGTGCCATTGGAGCACAGGTCTGATGGTTGCTGATAATGGGCCTCTGTATGTAGATATTTCATTACAAATCAGCTCTTTACATTTACTACATTAACAATGTCTACACTGTATTTCTGATCAATTTCATGTTATTTTAATGGACAAAAACTGTGCTTTTCTTTCAAAAACAAGGACATTTCCAAGTGACCTTTTGACCGGTAGTGTATGTCTCTGGTAAGAAAGTTCATCATGTGGTGGAGTTCTTTTTTTGCTGGTGCTGACATTATCCATCACAGAGAAACACCACCACGCTGTGGTGAGTCAAAGGAAGTGCACAGGTATCCAGATGATGCTGATCATGGTCGTAATAACAACATGATGATGACGCTCTCACCTCTTATTTTACTGGCAAAAAAATACAGTGAGATCTATGTATAAAACACAACAGTAACAGTATTACTGGCATTATTGGTACTATTTGTATTGTACTAGTATTGGAGTAAATAGTGTTAATGCTTCTATAATACTGCATTTGTTCTTTTATATTCCTTTGCGCTGCTATGTC